CCCTGCCTTGCGGCTTCCTGGTGGGGGATGGCGCGCCTTCGCTGTGGAGACCCCAGACGGGCGGCGTGTCACCCTCCACGTGGGCGCTGACAAAGCCCCGCGTCAGATCCGTCGCGAGATGCACGCAAAGCGCCTCCTCAACATCCTCACCCAGGACTGGAGCCACCCCGCGAACAAGCCGCTGGACTGGACCGCCATCAGGCCCAAGGGCATCATCAGCGCCAACGCCGTGCCGATCATCGAGGTTGTCCCCCAGGGCTTCCACGAGTCGCCCAAGATCTACTGGCACCCTGGCTCCGCGCAGTTCATCTCCGAGCGCGACCGCCGCACCATCGTCGAACACTTCAACCAGGCCACCGCTGCCACCGCCGAGGTGGACACGTCCAGCTGGTATTGCTCCTAGCCCTCGCTGGCTGCCTTGGGTTCTAGCCCCCGCCCGAGGCGCTGACTCGATCGCCAGCAGGGGGCTTTGCATTGCGTCCTGGAACGCCAACGGTCTCCTCTGCCACCGTGCCCACAAGCGCAAGGCCAAGCTGGCCCGCCTTGCCCAGCTGATGAAGCTCCGCAACCTCATCGTCGTCCAGGATGTTCAAGGCTCAGAGATCCAGCTCAGGACCCTGATCGACCAGCTACCGCGCCACTACCGCACCTACTTCGCCGCTGGTGCGAACCCTGGCACGGGTGGCCTCGCCTTCCTGGTACCGTGGTTCTCTGAGGCCGAGCTGCGCTCGCCGGACCAGGGTCTGCTCCCTACCATCAAGATGTCGACGCTGGTGCCTGGTCGTGTTGCTGAGCTCTCCATCTCCAACGGGAACACCAGCGAGCACATCCGCCTCCTCAATATCCACAATCATGACATTCCGCAGTCCTCCTTCGGCGCCATCAGACGCAGCTGGATGGAGGGCGCCCGCTGGGCGCAAGCTGACGAACGCCACCGTATCTTCGTTGCCATCGGCGACTTCAACGTCGCCGATCCGGAGCCCCTCTCCCTGGAGAGGCCCGCCGTTGCGCACTGCAAGTCTCCCAGCGCCGACCCCGCCGCGGTCTCCCCTTGGCCCCTTCTCAGATTGGCAGCGGTGCCCGCTCCTCTTCCTCGTCGTCACCAGATTCGGAAAGACGCTGTGCGCATAGGGCGGGTAACAGGCGCACCGTGTGGCACCGCGGCAACCAGGGGCAAGGGTTCTTGCGAGCGCTCTTTCAGCAAGCCCTTGCTGAGGTGACATGTGAGTTGCCCACGCACTACTCCAAGCAGTACCAGACTTGTTCCTTTATTGATCGCGCCTTCGTCTCTCTCAAGTCGCACTCCATCTTGAACGCGGCGATCTCGTTTGAGATTTGGCAGGAGGCCGCGGCGCTGGCGGACTGGGGCCTCAGCGACCACGCCATTATCCAGCTGAGGATCTGGGCTGGATTGCCCTCAGAGATCACCGAGCAGTCCATCCCGCCGAACATCTTCAGCTCCCCATCGGTATGTGAAGCACGTGGAGACCCTCCTGGACGTTGCCGACCTGGACTCCTTGGACGTTGCCCCGCGGTGGTCCCTCGTTAAGGATATCATGGCCGAGGCGGCGCGCCTGACCAGGAATGAGATCCAGGCCCTCCCGATCGGCGACCACAGCGAGGATGCGGAGGGCGGCAGAAGGCTCTCCATGCGTGCCCGTGCCATCGTTCGTGCTGTTTGGCGTCAAGACGCCCACCTCGCACGCCGTCTGAGGCAAACGACGTCTCTGGGCGAGAAGCACCTGGCGCTCTGCCCTGACGAGTCGGTCTCCCTTCTCGCCCCTGAGGGCTTCGATAGCGACTGTCGCCTGCTGCATGCGGCATGGCGCGAGCGACAGCGGGCTGCTGCCGCTGCTCGGCTCCGAGAGGGAGCTCGCCTTAGACCTGGTGCTGAGGGGCCCGACAAGTGGCAGCTGCTGAAGCTCCAGTGGGCCGCGCAGCGCAGGGCCATGCTCTGGGCGCCCTTTCGCCGACGTTTGGTCATTGCTGGAGTTTGCCTGGAGGGCAACGGCCATTGTGCTTCCATCGAGCGGGGCCCAGTTCGCGTGTTTGACGCCCTGCGCTCATATTGGAAGCCCCACTTCACCGACCAGCCCGTGGACATGGACTCGGTCGGCCGCTACCTGGACATGCACCTCCCCCACTACGAGGCGCCTTCTCGGCATGTTCCCTCTGCTGACGCTCTCCGCGCTGCCTTTTCGACGCGCGCGGCCCTCGGCGCCTGGCCCCGACCGCCTGGTGGCCAAAGCTTGGATGGCAGACAACCGACTATCCGAATCCCTTCACTCCCTGATGCTGCGTCTCTTCGGGGGTGGAGGTGCTCCTCTGGGGTTCAACTATGCGGACATGGCCTTCATTCCCAAGGGTTCGGAGCCGTCTGACGCTTTCGACGTGGTCAGGGCGCCTGGCCGCCTCCGCCCTTTGAGCCTGAAGAACGCTGATGCGAAGGCGGTGGCGTCGGTGACGAACATCCAGCTAGGTTATCTGACTGCCCGCCGTGCGCACTCTGCTCAGCAAGGCTTTATTCGTGGCCGCAATTTTCTCGGCCACATTGTCCGCCAGGATGCGATCGCTCGGGCGGCGGGGCATCGCCCCGACCTCTCCCCTGCCTTTGTCTCCTTCGACCTCCGTGCTGCTTCCCCCTCTCTCTCCCAGGCGTTTCTCCACCGAGTGCTCGAGAGACATCGCATCCCGACGGGTTTTCTGAATGTGACTTCTGCCCTTTACTCAGGGGCTCTCGCCCATGCCCGATGCGGCTCCGCCAGGCTCCCGCTCTTTGTGGTCTCCTCAGGGGTCGCCCAAGGCTGCCCCCTCTCTGGCGCCATATGGGCCCTGTGCATGGACCCCTTTCTGCGCCACTTGGAGGCCCAAATCGCTTCCCCGTCTGCCCGTGATATGTGCCCTCAGCCTGTCAGCTTGTGTCCTGGGCTCTACCCTGAATGTGGAGCGACGGCGGGCGATGTGGGGCTCGCCCTTTCTTCGATCTCGCTCCTCCCCACCCTGGCCCCCCCTTCGACGCCGCCCGCACTCTAGCGAATCTCACACTTCAGCCCGAAAAGTGTTGTGTCGTTCCCTTGGCGGAATCGTGTGTCCCAGCCGTGGAGACAAACTTTCAAACCCTGATTGCAGAGCTTGTCCCGCAGTGGTTTGAGTTCCACGTGCGCGGCCACACAACCTTCTTGGGCATTGAGTTTGGCCCTGGCGCCTCCCTCGAGCGGCTGTGGGCCGCACCGTCCCAGAAATGGCGTGCCCGCACCATAGAGACTGCTCCATCCCGCTCCCCAGCGGAGGCCAGCTGTAGGCTCTATAATGTCTGCTTCTTCCCTGTCCTTAGCTATGTCTGTCAGCTCTTCCCTCTGCCCCCGTCCCTCCTCCGGTCGGAGCGTCGCGTCCTTCACCGCCTCCTCCGTCTCCCTCCCAACTCCTTCGGCCTCTGCGAGCTCCTCAGCATCAGCTCTTGGCTCCCGTCTGCTGTCCCACGATCTGCCTGTGTTCTCGCTGCTGCGTCGGCGTGGCGGACGGCCATGCTTGCCCTCCCTCGCTCTGGGCCGCGAGGTTGGGGGGCACCTCTGCGGGCTCATGCCCAACTGCACAGCGCGCTCCATGACCTCGGGAGAAGGCGATCCTCCCCGAAATGCTGGGTTCGCGCGACAGCGATTGCCGAGTTCTTAGAGTCCTCGTGTGCATCGACGGCCCCGCCACCGAAAGTGGATGCTGTGGCCTGGCGCACCGCCGCGGCGGCAGCCGCCGCCGAGCTCGCGACAGCGGCGCAGGACGCTCGCCGCCCACGCCCCCGACGTGTCCTCTCCCGTCTCCTCTCGTCGTCCCTGTTCCCTGATTCCCTTCCCTCTTTCCTCCGTCGCCGTCTCCCCGAATGGGTCCCGCGTGACTCCGTTCCTGCCCAGCCAGACCTGCAGAGGCGCTGGGAGGCCCTCCGCGCTATTCTCAGTCGCGCGCTACCGTCCTGGGCCTGGGCCCATGTAAAGACACTTGCAGGGGCCTGGACGACGTCCTCCAGGCTTCCCAGCGCCCCAGTATGCTCCTGCCTGTTCGGCTGCTCCGACCCAGATGAGTTCCCCCACTACCTCGTGTGTCCTCGTCTCTTGCACCTCCTCGCTCTTCCTCGAGGGTCTCTTCCCGTCTCCCCTCTCACTCGTCTGGGTCTCGGAGCTGTGCCCGATCCAGAGGCTGAGTATCCTCGTCTGCGCTGCCATCACATCACTGTCCTCAGCTTTCACATATATCACAAGCGGAAGGCTGACCTTTCCTCGCGCCGTCGGCTACCGACGCCGCCATACCACTACGAAATCCGAGCCGCCGCACTCGCCGCCATGCGCGTCTAGTGCCCAGGTCACCACGAACCATCTCAGGTTACGTGCGCTCCTTGTCCTCCCTTGTCCTCCTCCCTCTGGCTACTCCTTGTCCCCCCCCATCCTCCTTGTCCTCCTCCCTCCTCCTTGTCTTTCTCCTGGTCCTCCTCTTCGTCCTCCTCCTTGTCCTCCTTGTCCTCCTCCTTGTCCTCCTCCTCCTTTTCCGCTTCCGCTGCTTCCCTCTGGCTACGCGCAAGAGTTACCATTCGCTGGAGTGAGTTTTGGTACTGGCCCAAAGTTGTCCCCCCCCCCCAGCGCTTGCCTGCACGCCTGGATTCGGCCGCTCCTCCCCCGCGGCCGCCTGAAACCGCGCGCCGATGGCCACCCGTGCCCATGTTCACTTCCCAGGCATGCGATATCTTGATCTTTTCAGTGCGCTGTCCCCGGAAGTCTCGACCCATTCCCCGGGAACGGCTTTTAACCCCGAGTTGCTTTTTGACGGTCTCGAGGCCCAGCAAGGGCCCCAGGAGGCCGAACATGGCGAACCACCTCCCGTGGTGATTTTTGCATGACCCGAGGGGGCCTGGGGGGCACTCTCACCCAGGGTCACTGCTGCGTGCGGCAGATCCTTCTCCTTACCCGCCTCTATCACCATCGGCCTCGCCTCGGCTGCTCCAGCACGCGAGCCAGGGGCCTCGTGTGGACCGGGCCGGTGCTCTCGTGCACCCTCGTGCTCGCGAAGCTGGTGCGGGCCTTCAGGGCGTGCCAGCGCTGCTCCTGCCGGAAGATCTGGGCCCTCGACGCGGCCGTGCAGGGCGATTTCCGCGGGTACGGCAGGCGAACCTCCCCGCCCCGCCTGCGCCCAGTTGCCCAGGCATCCAGCCGCTCCAAGTTTTTCGATGCGTGGGCCCTGGAGGTCTGGACCACTTTCCCTAGGGCTGGTTTCGTCGTCGTTTTTTGACGCTCCCGCCGAAAGCGGCCACAAAAACCGCCGGCCCCACTTTTTTTGGAGCGTCGGATCGCTGGGCCTGGCTGGGGCCTCGCGAGTTGCACCCTGGGAGGGTGCGTCTCAGGGGTGCGGGTCGGTCCTCTGGACGCGTGCAGGGCGCTCTCGGCGCGGGGCCGGGGCCTCGGCGCGTCTCGCCTCCCGGCGGAAGGCCGGCGGATTTGCAAGTAAATGCTGGCCGTCACTTCGCTGGCGGAGGAGAAACAGCGGCACAGAAAGTACTCCGCTGCACGCGACGCATTCACATCAAGCCGGCCCCTGAGCGTCGGAGTAGATCCTGACTGCCACGGCCACGAACAAGCACACGACCGGCGGAAGGCCAGCGGAAGTAAAATGGCGGCGGACCCGCCAGCGGAAGGCAGGGGCTCGTGCTTTTTTTTTTTTGTTTGAATCCCCTGGCGATCCCAGACTCCCTTCGGTCATGTAAAAATCACGACGGGAGGGTTTTCGCCATCTTCGGCCTCCAGGGGCCCCTGCCGGGCCTGGGGACCGTCGACAAAACAACTCAGGATGAAACGCCGGTCCTGGGGAAGGGGTCGAGACCTCGGGGGGTCGACGTCGTGAAAAAATCACGACGTCGGGGGTTTGAGTTTCCCCCCCCCCCTTGCGATAACGGCCGCTGCGGGGGGGGCGAGGGGGCAGGTAACGGCTCGATTCGCGCCTGCGCCGTCTGGACATTATTATTATTATTATTATTATTATTATTATTATTAATATTATTATTATTATCATTAGCTATTCCTGGGCATTCCCAAACGGCGCCAGCGCGAACCGTGACGTTGCCAGATGGGTGGGGGGGATGGGGAGTATCCCTTGTGATGACCGTGATCGCGAATCGGTGAAAAAATGCGCTCCAGCGGCAGCAGCAAAGAGTCGGAAGTCAACATGATTCGATGAAGGGTTTTCGGACTCGGCCACGTGCTGCATCGCTGCAGCTCGGGCGGGCCCAGGATGGGGTGAGACGTTCCAGAGCGTTCCGGAACGCTCTCAGAGCGCTCTGCAGCACTCTGGAGCGGCCGCGGCGCCCGATGAGTCCTCCGGAGCCTCCCGATTTCTGAGATCCCCGTTTGTCCCAGTGCTTTCTTCGTCGTCCTGGTCCTCCTCGTCGTCCTCATCCTCGTCGTCGTCGTCGTCGTCGTCGTCGTCGTCGTCGTCGTCGTCGTCGTCGTAGCAGCCGTTTTCTCAGCACACGTGCGCCTGAGCGCGGCGGGGCCTCGGGACGACCTGCCAGGGAAGGGCACGAGGGCTCGGTGTGCGGGCGCTTCTTCGTAGTCTCCGCCCCTGGTCACAGGGCGCTGCTTCTGTGCACCCGGGGTGTATCGCGGGACGAGTCCGTCGGGAGTGCCGCCGGGGGAAGGGGGGGTCAGGGGGGAGGTAAGAGGAGTGGGGGGATGGAGGGCCGCGGGAAGGGGGCCCGGGGGGCTTCCTCGGGGCCCCGAGGGTGCAGGTCGCTTGCCTCTTCTTGGCTGGCCGGTGCTGCCGAGCTGCCCGGCCACCTCTCCTCTCCTCCTCCTCTCTTCCGCGCCCGTTCCGGCCCTCTTGCCTCTGCCGGCCGGTTCGTGGCTCTGCGCGCGCAGGCGCCTTCTCTCGTCCGCGCTTCGGCTTGGCCTGCCGCCGCGACGGGGACGGCTATCACTTTCGCAGGCGTGGACCACTCGCGCCCGCCGGCTCGCGCGCCATGGCCAGGCCCGCAGCCCGAAGGGCCGCTGACCCTCTGCGCCACCAGCTGCGTCCCGGCGGCGTCGTGGCTCCTCGCTCGCCCTCGGGCTCCCCTCCCCGCGCTGCCCCCCGACGAGAGCGCGGTATTGTTGCCGAGGAGGGAGAGGAGGGGGATGAGGAGGAGGAGGAGGACGAGGAGGAGGAGGATGAGGGGGAGGAGGAGAAGGAGGACGAGGAGGAGGAGGAGGAGGGGGAGGAGGAGGACGAGGAGGAGGAGGAGGAGGAGGGGGAGGGAGGAGGAGGAGGAGGAGGAGGAGGAGGAGGAGGAGGAGGAGGAGGAGGAGGAGGACGCCCACGACCGAGAAAGGTTCGACCGAGTTCGAATGTAAAAATGAGAGGAGGCGTAGGGGGAGGTGAGGGGGAGGAGGAACAGGAGGGGGAGGAGGAGGAGGAGGAGGAGGTGGAGAAGGAGGAGAAGGAGGAGGAGGCGGCGGCGGCGGCGGAGGGGGATGAGCACGAACACGGAGAGGTCTCGGCATCCATGCAAGAGAGCAGGCGAAGGACCACTCGGAGGTGTGTGTGTGTGGGGGGGGGAGGAGGAGGGCCAGGGAGGAGGCCCGCGCCGAGGTGGGAGCAGGCCTGTCGGATGCCCTCAGTCCTCTGGCTCTTGAACTTCCGGGGGGCCTTTATCTCGCTGGTGTTTATGGCGCACGCCGCCGCCTTAGCAGGCTTCTGCTGGCGCTGCTCCTTCCTCCCTCCTTCCTTCTCCTTGCCTCCTTGTAGTTCGTAACGGTTTGCGTGCCCATCTCGAGCAATCCGAGTGCGTAAAACGCGCGAGTATAATCGAAGACAGCGCCCCATGTCCGCAATGCCAGAACAAGCGCAACGATATCGCGTGTAACAGAGGGAGGGGGGGGGGCGGGTGGAGGGGGCTGGCCATCACGCCGAAAGAAGAAACGCGTTGGGTATGATTTTCGCGCCGTCGGGCCGCTCCTCTCGCGGTTCCTTGTTCGAGAGGCTTACGCCGTTCCGCCGACCCCCGGAAGGGGGAAGGAGTCCGTGGGTGAGGCGCTTTTGGGGCCTCTTGGGGAAGCTCTGGGAGCCTCTTCTGGGCCTCTTGGGGGCCTCTTCGGGCCTGTTGGGTGCTTCTTGCGGCGTGGCAGGAGCACACCACTGGGGACCAGCGAAAACACTGTCTGAAGAGGGAGGTAGGGTAGTGAGGAAGGACTGCGCAGAGAAAGGATCCACGGCGAGGTTTTTGGAGGCGCTTGGATTCTCGGGCCCATGTGGCGAGAGGCTGCTTCGGAACTCTTGAGCACTCGAGCACGGCATCAATCTCGCTTTCATCGCTCGGCAAGGAAAGTTGAAGTGCAGTCGCACCCAGTGAACCAGGAGGTGAGCGCGATGCAGGGTGGTGACGTGAAGCTGAGGCAGCAGCGCGCGGGAAGGTGTGTGGGCCAGTGCTTGTACGCTTCTGGTGGGTGCGTTCGCGGGCCTGCCGATGTCGATGGTCTGCGAGCCTGCCGGCAGTGTTCGGGAGTATGGGGAACGCGTGGACGTGCGCGCGAAAACTGAAAGATGGTGAGGCGAGGAGGAGGAGGAGGAGGAGGAGGAGGAGGAGGAGGAGGAGGAGGAGGAGGAGGAGGAGGAGGAGGAGGAGGAGGAGGAGGAGGAGGAGGAGGATGGGGAGGAGGAGGAGGAGGTGGAGGACCAGTGTAAACCTAAGGTCCATCAGCGACGTTGGAATACACCCTCCCTCCAAGCTCCCTCTTCATCCAGTGAGAGAAGTGCCACGTTGGGAGACAACCGTTTGAAGATCCAGACGTGCGCCAAAATACAATTCTCGGGACTCCAACGCCACGAATCGACCTGACAGTTACGTCTTGACGGTCCTGAATCTTGCCAGGACACCTTTCATGGGTCTTCAACACCGCCAGTCAACGTACCTGTCGCGCCCTGACATTCCTGAATCGCTCCAAAACGCAGCATCTGGTACGTTGGCCATGGGAGCCCTTGACACGTTTGCAGTTTTTAAAGCGAGTGTGCGCGGCGCCAAGGCGAGAGACACAGTTTGACAAGGAACCGCCTTCAATATGCGACCTTCTCGCAATGTTATTTAAACGAATGTGCGCGGCGCTAAGACGAGAGTCACACTTTGAAAGCCACTCGCCCCCACCCCGTGAAGTTCTTGTAAGTTGTGAAGGCGTGTGTGCGCGGCGCTAAGGCGAGAGCCACATTTTTAAAACTAGCCGCCCTCAACTCGTGCAGCTGTTGCAAAGTGTTCAGACGAGTGTGCGCGGTACTACGGCGAAGACTACATTTTGAAAGTTGCCCGCCCTCCATCCGTGAAGTTGTTGCCAATTTGTCAGCTTCAGGACCACCGATGGTAAAGAAGTTTTAGGCGAAGCGCCCAGCCCGCCCTTCCGACTGGCCTCGGGGTGCGACATGGAGGAGTTATCTATAAGGAATAGGATTGGAGGAGGGGGCGGAGGAGGAGGGAGGAGGAGGAGGAGGAGGAGGAGGAGGAGGAGGAGGAGGAGGAGGAGGCGGAGGAGGCGGAGGAGGAGGAGGAGGAGGAGGAGGAGGAGGAGGGGGAGAAGGAGCAGGGGAGTGGAGTAGGAGATGGGGGGTGCAAAGGGGGAAGGACATAACGATGAGGATACACGACGACGAGGAGGAAGATGCGCAGGGCGCAACACAGGAGGACGACGATGAATACGAGGAGGGGGACGGCGCGACGGTCCGGCTTGATTAGCGTGCATATCTTTTTGAGCTGTGGTGTGGGGTCGGAAGCTTGAAAATGGCAAGCGGCGAACATCATGGAACAAACGTGTGGCAACTCAGCAGGTGTTTGGGGCATCTCCCGCCACCGCTTTTGGGTTGTGGGACGAAAGCTTCGTGAATGCCCGTGTACTGCTTTTTTGGGGTTGGGGGAGACGTTTGGGGCGCCTCTTGGAGGTACGTTAGGGTCTCTTCGGATGCCTCTCAGCAGCATCTTGGAGCGTGTGTCGAGGCATCTGGGGGCCTTTTGGTGCCTCTTGGGGGCCTGTCGGAGGGCTCTTGGGGCTTCGTGGGGGCGGCTAGAGAGGCCTCTGGGGGGCTCTCGGGGCCATCTTGGGGAGAATGCTCGACATAGCAGTTCGGATTCCCCTTCTTGGGCTTGAGCCACCAGGGCCAGTTCGGGCCTCTCTTGGGAATCTGTTTGGCCGTCTTGGGGCTGCATCTACTGGGGCGAACCTGGGACGCTCTTGGGAGCCCCTTGGGCTGTCTTGGAAGCTTTCAAGGTGCAAAAGGCGAGTGTGCTGAACATTTGCGTTTCCCCTTGGATTTGGGGCGATATTTGTTTCGTGGGGCCTTTGTAAAGGGTCACCGTGGAGCCCTATTGGAGCGTCTTTGGTCCGTGGGGGAGCCCAGCCTCCTCCCCTCGTCAAACGAGATTTTCGACCCGGGGGGAGGGGGAACGTGGGAGGGGGACAGCCAAATGTTGAGCGAAGTGAGCCTCACCTCTCCCTCAGAAATCGTGGGGTGGTGGGGTAGGGTTCGCATGTGGCCTCCCATTTCACACGCCCTTTCACCCCCGGCAAGCGGGGGTCGGAGGACTCAGCGCTTCTTTTAGCAACGCGACGACAGCAAGTCCGAGGAAGCCCTCTCGCCGCTGTCTCCTCAGCGCTGAGGCGGAGTCTGCCCTCCCCTTTGGCCCCTGAGGGTGGATGGGGGGAGCACCCCTTCCTTCGCCAGCGGGGGGGGGGCACCTCCCTCCCCGGAGGAGGGCCCTTCCACTCCTCCGCAGCAGACGCGTCACATGAGAGGCTTGCCCGCCAGCGGGTGCTCAGCAGGGATTTCCTGCTTCCCGATTGCCTGGGGGGCCCGGCGGGTCAAGATCGAAGACCGGTGTGCCCATAGATCTCGCATCAGAATCTCGCGTCACATGTATCTGGGCTCGTCGGGGCCTGTCCTGGCTGTCGCGCCTCGATCTGCCGGTCTCGTCCGCCGACCGCCGAGGCCAACGCGTGCGTCTGGGCGGCCTCGCACCCGGACTGGGAGAGCGAGACCGGACTGGGCGAGCGCGCCTCCCTTGCTTCTGCCGCCGGTGAGTTCGAGAGCTCGAGGGGGCAGTCGCGGCTCGGGCTTGAGAATCACTTCGGACGGCCTCTGAGCTGGTTGGCGGTGCCGCTGGCGACGAGCAGGGGGGCTGTGGCATTTGGGCGCGCCCTGCCATCAGCGACGTCGCCCGCAAAGCACACACGCCATCTCTTTCACACACAACCAGACAGACACACACACACACACACACACACACCCAGACACAGACACCCAGACACATCCGTAGCCATTTTTGGCTCAAGCCGTGCCTGGGCGCGCTCGGGCAAGATGGCGCGGGAGAGTCTTCGCGGGGTGGCTGGTGCCCGCTTCGCTGCAGACCGCCTTGTGCAGCGGCTGACGCGTGAGCTGGCCGAGGCCCGGGGCGAGGCCGCCAGGCTCCGCGAGCTGCTCGAGGCGAAGGTCGACGGCGAGGGGGACCCCGAGGTGCTGCGGCGCGAGGCGATCGCGAGGCCTGTCCTGGCGGCCCGCGTCGCCGGCAGACCCGAGGCCCCAGCAGCCAGGCGGCGGCGCAACGTGGCCTGGCACGCCGCTTCCTGCCCGCTGGCCGGAGCGGAGCCGGCCGCATGGCGCAAGGCCGAGCGCGGGCCCCGCCTGGGAGCAGCTCCCAGGCCAGCTGGTGATGCCCACGGCGGTGCCAGCAGTGAGGGGGCAGCGCGGCTGCCGCTGGAGATGCAGGTCGAGATTTGCGTCGCCGAGCCCGCCGTGAAGCTCGGGAGACCAGCGGAACCGAGGGCGAGCCTGCGGTCATGCGCCCAGCCCTTCCGATCGAGGCGCACGCCGCTGCGGAGCGGGGCCACGCCGTACGTACCCTTCCGCCAGCTGAGCTGCGAGGAGACGGCCGAGGAGGTGCTTGCGGCGCTGGACTGCGGGCCCCTGGCTCCCGTTGACAGGGCTGAGCTTGGCCCTCCCCGTGACGGGGCTTGGACGGCAGACGTGGTGCGGGAGGGAGTCGGCGCAGCTGCCCTCCAGGTGCCGTGTCGTGCCGAGTGGCCCCAGGTGGGCGGTGCTGCAGGCGCTGGAGCGCCGCCGCCGCAGCTGGAGCACCTGGGAGGCCCAACTGGAGAGCAGGGCGACAGCAGGCACGGCGAAGGCGAGAGCGCCGAGGGGAGCCAGGACAGCACGGTGTGCTCCGCGACCCTCTCCGCCGCCACCGCCGAGCGCAACGATGCTGTCACGCAGTACCTGCTAGATAACTATGCTGCGCTCCTCCGAGGGGGCATCGGAAGCGTCGAGCGCGATGAGGTCGCCGAAGGCTCCGTGGGCGGCGACAGCAGTTCCTACTTCTCCTCCGTGTTTGGTGTCTTCAGGGACTACGGGCCCGACCACGGCCAGTTCCTCATCGACGAGTTCTCCGACGGCAGCGAGCGCGCTGCCGAGTGCGACCTCGAGCGTGCCGCATGGCTAGCCCAGGGCTCGCCGAGCTTCGCCGAGCAGTGCGCTCGGCTGGAGCGCAGCAGCCACTTCGAGGATGATTTCGAGTGAGGACTTCTCAGGGTTCTGAGTACGCGCGAGGCTGTTCTTGGCAGAAGCGTGCGCTGGTTTGCTTAGTCAGTGTTCTCCTGCTCGGAATGTGATCGCGCGTTGAGGGTGTGAGTGAGTGGCCTTCTGTATTTGCATGCGTGCGTGCTTGTTGCAGTCTGTGCCCGCTTGCACCGCATATTTTCCTCCTGTGTGTCCCTCGGTACGGGAGATGCCCTATAGACGGGGGTAGAGCTTCGGGCGTTTCGAGCTGTGCCTCGGGGCCGTAGCGCCCTCGAGGCAGGAGTTTCCGACGTCGTCGAGGCTCTCGGGGCCGAAGCGCCCTCTTGTCTTGGGAAGGCCCCTGTGGGCCAGGGCCCCTCACGTGGGCCTGGGCCCTCAGTGGGCTCCTTTTGCCTTTATAGGGCCCGCGTTACCAGTCACCCAGACGCAGACACCCAGACGCGAACACCCAGTCACACACAGACACAGACACACGCAGACGCACAGACACGCATACACACAGACGCAAAGACACACAGACACACAGACACACAGACACGCAGACGCACAGACACACAGACACATAGACACGCAGACACAGACACACAGACACAGACACGCACGCAGACTCACATACACACAGACACACGCATGCACGCACGCACACACTTCACACACAACGCACAACACAACGCACACATACACACACTTCACACACAACGCACAACACACAACACAACACGCACTTCACACCCAACACTCACAACACCACACGCACCACAGACACCACACGCACAACGCACACACGCACACGCACGCACGCAATGCACACGCTGACACACGCGCACACACGCGCACGCAGACGCGCGCGCAGGCACGCACGCACACCCACGCACGCACACACGACGCACGCACGCACACACGCGCACACACGCAGCCACACTCATTCACACACATTCACGCACATTCTTACACATTCACATCCACAACAATCACAACACACACGCGCACGCACGCACGCACGCACACAGAACACACATAACACACACGACACACAACACAAACACAACACACAACACAAAACACAACACAACACAAACACCCACCCCCACACACAAATACACACACTCACACACTCACATATCCACACACGCACACACGTACACACGCACACACACACACACGCCCACGCATACACACACGCGCGTAACCGCGCACGCGCACACCACGCGCACACACACGTACCCGCAAAGACACACCACACAACGCACACAACACACAACACACAACGCACAATACACAATCCACACCGCACAAAACACAACACACAACATAAACCACACAACACACAACACGCTTCACGCAACACACACAACGGAACCCGCAAAACGCAACACGCAACACCCAACACGAATCACGCAACACGCAACACGCAACACGCAACCCGCAACATGCAGCATGTAATCCGCATCACGCAACACGCAACACCCTGCGCGCAACAGGCAACACGCAACACGCAGCACGCACTACGCAACACGCAACACGCAGCGTACAACACACAACACACAGCACAGCACACAATACACAACACACAACACAACACGCACCACACACAACACACACACACACCACACATCGCATAGCACAACACACACTCGCACACACAACACACACCACACAACACACAACATACAACAGGCAACACACCGCGCGTAGCACGCAGTGCACACCACACAGCGCACAGCACACAACACACAACACATAGCACACAGCACGCACAAGACAGCAAACAACGCACCATACACCACAACACACAGCACACAGCACACAACACAACTCACATCCCACAAGGCACAACGCACAGCACACCGCACAGAGCACACACCACACAGTACACACCACAACACACAGCACACACCACACACCACACAACACACACAACACACACCACGCAACACGCTGCCCAGCACACAGGTCACAAAACACAACACATACCCCACAACACACAACACACACCACGCAACACACGGCACACATCACACAATACACAACACGCAATACACAACATACGACTCACACAACACAACACGCACCACAACACACAGCGCACAGCACACAACGCACACCACACAACACACAACACACAACACGCAGCACGCAACATAAAAACACACCGCGCAACACAACACACAACGCACAACGCACGCCACACAACGCACAACGCACAACACACAGCACGCGCCACACACCACATCAGGCAGCACGCAGCACACATCACGCAACACACAACACGCAACGCACAAC